TCGGGGCATCGACTAACCCGTGAGAAAAATGACATTCGCCGTGTCGGTCAAAGAAACCATCTCCGCTGGCGGAGATTTAACGGGTTCACGGCCCCTTTCGCCATCGAGATTCAACGCTGAAGAATTCCGGAAACAGCGCTAGTACCGAAAGAGCCTGTGAGTGGATATATATCACGGATGCTAACAAATTCGAACGAAAAGGAAGCGCGTGAAATAACTTCGTGTTTCTCATGGATATTTGCCGTGAAAAAATACGCCGCGATATTTTACGACAGGTACTTTCCGCGATTTATCGCCACTGTTTGCGCTTTGTTTAATGGCCGCACTTGCGTAAATTATTACCGCGCGTGTACGTAACTTATTATCGTTCGATTTTCCCGCTTCGTTTTTTATGCAATCTTCCCTTCTATTTGTTTTTCCGATATAACGCAGCTTGGTAAATCGTAATCCTAGAATCGATGAGTCTGCCGTTTCGAATCGCCGATTCCCCTACAGTATTCGAACTTTTACTCGATATCGAACTTTCAACGATTTGACAACGACTTTAGTGTATTTTTTATCTTTATTTGGCCGATCGTTAAAACTGTAAATATCGATCGTACAAATAACAAAATCGAAACACTTGGCTGTAAATGACAATTTCTGGCTTTCCATTGTCTCTATACTTTACCAGTTACGAGGCAGATTTGTTTTTCATTAACATCGTGTCGAGTCTCGAGCGATGTATCCTATGTTCAAGCGTCGAGATCCTGTTGGCCCTTCCTTATCCATCAATTTCAGGAAAATCCGTAGAATCGATCGGCCTTGGACTTTTGCCCGTCCTCCATAGAGGATTGTTCGCTCGTGCACGCTCGAAATCCCCGCGAGATCCATTCGCGGAGTCACGCATGCCGCTAACTACGAAGGGAGTCGGGATCGAGAGGAACAGAGGCGCATCGAGCGGGCCGAAAATCCCGGCATTGTCTCGACACCGCGTGCTTCGCTCCCCAATACGGATAATCTCGGGAGGCCGGTCGCGTTCCCTGCGGGAGACGCGATAACGTCCTGAAACAGAGAGAATGGCCTGCCGAAGGGTTGCCACCGCTTTTCGCCGCTCCATCCATGGAATTTACAGTCCTCCATCCTCTCGTTTGGTATTAAACACTGGCTATAAATCGACGAATTTCGGGTCGCGTCGCGTGCACAGGTATATTCATGATCGATCATCGCTATGCTCTTCATTTCCATACATAGACCATAGTATGGTATATTTATCGTAAAAACATTGCTGTATACTTGTACGAACTATCGACGACTCGTACCAAAGACGTTTTATGTTATTTCATATACGTATAATATGGTACATGAATTTTAATATCAGCAGGTAGGGGAAATGTACGTTCTCGTTGTTGTCAAAAAGTCAAGGAGCGAGAAACACTTTCGACGCTGCTAGGAATCCCAAGTGCACCTTACGGATGCGCTACACCGATCGGAAGATGATCATCTTTTTCAAAAATTATTTCCGCTATTTACAGCAATAGCGTTAAATAAAATAAAAGCAGCGTCGAAGAATAAAAATTAACACGTGAGAATCTTTCCGTTCGGTGGAATGTTATTCGTGCAAATATTTAAAAAACGATAATTCCCGAGTTATCTCAAGATCAAGAACAGAGGGTAAAGAAGACGAACGATTTGCCTGTGTATTTCGAAAATTCGATAATTCTCGGCTCACGTTCACCAACGTTATTGTCAACGTTATTAACGTCTACTTTGAAGTGAATCACGCGTCTGCTTAATCGCATTAACGATAAACGATTCGCGGTAAGAATGCTCCTTCGCAATCGTAGTGCTGTCGGTGGGTAAATATTAGCCAACGATATTTTTCCTTCGTACGTTAGACTCGGCTGAGCAAGAACTCGCGTTTACGCCGGTATTCCCAGCTTCTCTGCGAACGATCCTCGAGGAACAGGCCTTTGTCTCTTTCCTCGAGCGACGATAAGAGAGAAAGAGACAGAGGTATGTAGCACATTAGCGAACGATTTGCCTGGCGAAAGTTGCGTCACCGGCTATTTCCAAGCCACTCCGAAATCAGCGAATTTTACGATCAAACAGTACGTTGTTTTTCAAGGAAAATCGTCATCTTGTTTTACGATGTTTGACTTAGGTTTCGGTGTAAATAATTTCCAAGGAGACGCTGACATTAAATCTTCTGTTGAATTATTATTATCGTAGAAGTATTGGGTTATAGGAAAGTTCCACGTAGAGTACACAAAAAGTAGACAAACTTCTAGCGAAGCTACATTGACCGCTAGAATAGACTCGGGGAAAGCAGCGGACGAATTTTTAAATATTTACAAATTACATCTTTTTACTCGTACGGTTTGTCTCACCAACGTACTTTTTCAGTTTCGCAAAATTCATCCGACAAAATAAGAAATAATTACGCGTGGTCAAAGCATCGTTTTCCTTGTCGTTACGGTTGGTTGGAAACCGATAGTATTTCGATGGCAATTCGAACGATAACGCGACCTGGTCGCGACAGATCGGACAACGCCGTGTCGATAATCGCAACGAACCATCTAATTGCGACAATAGATAGGCCTTGGAAATCCCGCAATCCTCTGGCTTAGAGAGAACAGGGAAAACGCAGAATCGGAGATGTTTGGTCACGCTCGAACCTATCGAATAACTCGAACTCCATCCCGAGATTATTTCCGTGGTAGAAGAGAGCAACGCGTGTGGATTATCGTAGCAAAAATTTAGTCGTCGTTCTTACGTATACTGTCTTCACCGTGTTCCCCTTCCAATCTCCCGAGGGCCACACCGATCCACGTGTACGCTCTTTATTTCTAACCTAACGCGAACGGCTCCTACGGTGACTATATTACGTGCGTTGTTTTTCTTAAAAAATCAAAATTTAAGCAGTCAAAGTGGTAAAAAAATGCTCCTGAAAAGGAAAGTAAATAAAAAACAACGTTTAGGGGAGGTTGGAACGAGAAAAATCAATGTCGAAGAAACGTGTCCTAAATGTCAGCGCCGAATCCATCGTCAATGGACCGATCTACGTGATCGGAATGTAGGGGTTGGTACCACCTTGACACAGACGAGCGGCCACGGGGCGCTAACTAACGCCATAATCAAGTAAGCAGTTTAGTCGAGCGATCCGGTTACGCCGACTTAGCCTTACGTATCGACGAGGCGTCACTGATTGGTTTACAGATCTGCTGAGCCGAACTCAGACGCTCAAAGGCCTCTCTAGTTAGCCAGAGACTCCCAGAACGAACCACCTTTACCCCATCCCTTTTATTCTCTCTCTCTCCCTCTCTCTCTCTCTCTTCCGCTCTCTGTCGCGCGCGCGCGACCCTTT